AAAAAAAAATTAAGCAAAAAATAGTATAGTATATAAAAAAACCAGCCCACTGGCCCCCCTCGAAAGGGTATTCGGCGCAGTAGAAAACATGATCTGTTGATTCCCTTTCCCGAAAAAACTCCAATAGATTCCATGACAGTTCCCGATCAATTCCCATAGAAAAAAGAAAGAAACAGCCAGGGTTATCCCAACCCATTGTAAGCAGGCCCTCTCAAAAATGCCCACTCCCGATTCCCTGCCCCCCCATCCATCGCGACTTCGCCTCGTTGGTTTAAACCAACCCCAAATAGACAAATATGACAAAACATAGGAACCCCGTTTTCTCCCCTTGGCAGACTGAAATGCAAAAAGAATTTGTTTTTTTGACGTATGCACATGATATCCTCTCTGTATAACACACTGGCGAAAAATGTAGTGATGATTAGGTGTTTGTTGTTATCCAAGGGCACAAACACGGGGTACCTATTGCAATGCTCCAAGAAATGTCAACCCTGTCGATGCGCCGGCCATGCAGCTCTTTCGAGAGGGGACAAGTCCGAGACCCAAAAGTATAGTAGTAATTGCAGTTGATGTAAGAAAGAAATGGGAAGAAGAAAAACAGACAATCCGCGACGCCATGCTTTTTCTGTAAAAAGTAAAACACACAAGTAGGTAGATGTTGGATAAAAAAAGAAACTCTATCGGACGCTGATGGCGCTGGCGCTGGCACCGCCGAGGAGACGGCCCCACACGCCGCGTCGGTGCCGCTTCTTGGTGGTGGCTTCGCTGAGCTGCTCGTATTGCTCCGCAGAGATGGTGATGTCGTAAGGCAGAGCGCGTACGCTCGGTGCCTGCGCCTTGGGCTCTTCCTTGTCCATGACAATCTCCACGGGGGAGTCGTAGAGGCTGCTCTGGCTGGTGCCATACAGGTAGGGAGAAGGATCCGACTCCAGCGGCGTGGTGGATCGGGAGTGCTGTCGGCTGGAGATGGACGAAGCATAGGAGCTGGCTGAGCTGTAGACCAGGCCGGGGGGAGTGATGCAGCCATTGCTGGTGGTGCGGTAGTGATCGGGGCTGGCATGTCGGGATCGTGATGGGCCACGAGACGAAACCGGGCTGGGATATCTGGCCGCGGCGTGGGCAGCGGCGTGGAACATCTCCTGCTGTCGCTTCTTCTCTTCGCGGTGGCGAAGCTTGCGGGCGTAGCGCTCGGCAATCTTGATGCGCGCGGGCTCCAGGAAGACGTCCAGCTCGGCGTACAGGTCGTGCTCAGTGATTCTCAGCTCCCACTCGAGCAGGAACAGCAGCTGCTTCTCCATCAGGTTGACCTCGGTGCGGGTGAAGCCAAAGGTGTAGTCGGCGGTGTTCATGTGGGTGTAGTTGGCCCAGTGCTTGTTCTTGGGTGAGCTGTCGTTGAGGTACTTGGCAGCGAGGATCAGGGCGGCCAGGAAGATGCGGTGGGTGGTGCATCGCAGGCCGCGGGCCATGGGCTGCAGCTTGGACTTGAGGCGGTTGAGGTAGACCAGGGTCGACATGAGGGTTGGGACCTGGACATTGGAGGAGACGACCAGCTGGGTGATGAACTCTTCCAGCGTGGGCAGCGCATCGTCGGTGCTGGAGACGGCCCGGGGTTCGGGGCTTCGTGGTGGAGTGGGCGGCCCGTCTCGGGTCTTTGATGATGATGATGATGATGATGATGATGATGATGATGATGATTCCCGGGGTGGTGGCATCAGGGTCGAGTCGCAGGCAATGACGTTGTGTGCAGCGGTGGCCAGGTAGGAGATCATTTCACGGCTGACGGGTTGGTAGACGAACTGCTCAAGGGCAGCCTTGTTGAGCTCGTCCATGGAGAGATATCTTGACGCCATGATTGCTGGGATGTGACGAGGTGATGAGTATGTAAGTGAGAGGTGGTCAATGCTCTAAATAGACGAATTGTGCTATCAAAGAGCAAATCCAGATCTGCAAAAAAAGCCAAGGCTGCTGATGGTTGAAAGCAAAATAAAAAGCAACGCAGCGAGCAGCGAGCGATGATATATATAAAAAGAGAGAGAGCAGAAGATCCCGGCTCACAAGGGGTGGAGGGGAGTGCTCAGAGCAGGTCGAGTGAGGGAGGAGGGATCAGAATCAAGATCAAGAAGCACAAACGCTGCAAAGGGAGGATCTGATCTGAAGAGGAGGACGGCAAGAGAAGAGACGAGAAAAAAGGAAGACGAAGGAGGCGGATGAGAAGAGGAAGAGGGATGCCAAACGTATTAAAAGCGATGATGGACACGGAGAGGACCTGCGCATGTGGCCCTTTTTTAGGTGCGCCAAGTGACCTGTCCTGGCGTTTGGGGTGCACCACGAGGCTGTCGGTGCGGCAGCAAGTACAGCTGGCGGTACAGCCGCTAGTGCAGAGCTAGTGGGCAGCGATGCGCCACAGGGAGGGTTGGCTTAGCGGGCTTTAGCGGGGGGCCTGCGGGCTGCAGGGGTTGGCGATGGATCAGTGGAGGGGGGAGTACCCAGCGGGCATGTACCGTGGCACGAGCAGCGTGAGCTGGCAGTGACTGCAGGCGACGTGGCGGGCAGCGGAGGGGCGGTCAGGGCGGTACTTGCGCGATGTACCCGAGGGTGGCTGGGAGTGTGCAAAGTCGCACGCAGGGTGACGGTGGCGGTACGAGTGCCCGAGGTATCGGCCAAGGTACCGACTCGCACAAGGCACAAGAGCTGCTGGGCAAGGCAGGTTGACGGCCAGGCCGGCAGGGATTTCCAGCAGCGCGCTCGTTTAGAGTTGGCGACGAGATGCTTGCGGGTGGTTCGGCCGCGAACGGTGGCGAATGATGGCTGTGTTGGGTTGCTTGATATGAGATTGGAGTTGATTGCTTGCTTTGCTTTGCTTTGCTTTGCTTTGCTTGCTTTTTGTATCCAAGCCGATTCCCGGTTCGATACGAGGAGCCAAGGCGTGTGTGTGGGTTGCAGATGTCAATTAATTGATGGATGTCTTTGTCTTGTCTTTGCCGCTATCTGTGGTGTATAATATTATGTTAAATGACTTCTGCAGAGTCCCGTGTCTGAGGGATGCCCAAGACAAAGAACGAATAAAAGCAAATTAGCAGCCGTGACGACGCTAGGATCACCGTTGGTGCAGCGCAGCAATTAAACCGAAATCCAATGCCGTCGCCTTGTATAAACCGACACGAAGACAAAGAAGGCCAAAGAAGCAAAAAGTTGACAGTCAGAGTCCGAGCTGTCCGGCTCTCTCCGGATTCGTGGAGGCAAGTCCGCACTGGTTGGTGGTGCTAAAAAATCGCAACGTGCCAACGTGGCGCCGTCCGATCCAGCGGAAGGGGTTGGAAGGGATGCTGATTTAGCACTGGGCTGTTAAATAGTAGATAGCTGGGGCCCTGAACGAGGCGGTTGAATTTTTCTCTATGGCGTGTTTGATGTTTGTGTGTGTGTGTGTCTAACTCGGCTTGCCTTGTCCACTGATCCAGACGTGGCGTCAAGGGTAGAATGACTGTTTCTTTTCCTTGCTAAAGCCGTGTAATGGCCAATTGGGCAAAAAAAGATGCCGTTGAGTCTCCGATAAAGATGCGGCTTCGTTCGGCAAGGAAGCGCAAATGCGGTGAGCACGTCAAAAGCCTGGGCCCAAATGAGGCAGAATCGAACAGGGTATTTATTCGGGATGATGCGATGCCAGGCAGTCCAGAAAAAAAACCGGTTTCGGTAGGCAGATATTATATATGATGCAATCTCTTTGTTTGCTGGAAGAGAGAGAGCGGTTGGCGTGAGCTTTCGATGATCCAATTGGAATCCAATAGCAACTAGTACTTTGTGAACAAGGGAAACACAAGTATGCGAAAATGTGTAAATCAAATTAAGGTGCAGCCACGCAAATGCAGGGTCCAAAAGGCAAATCAGAGCACGATCCGTCCGGCGGTCGATCTGAAGGGAGAATTTCTTGTGCTTTTCGGTTCTTGTTCACACCACTCAGCGGTATGCTTATTCAATGAATGGCAACTTTAAGCCTGTCTTTATTGCGTTGAATTAAGGCGGTACGTAATTCACTGCACAGGAGCGTTCCAGCACTCGACAAGACTCGAAATGAAAAAGATTGGAGGGCGGGAGTGAGGGAAAAGGGAAAGATGACCAATAAACAAAGGAAAGGGAAAGAGAAAAAAAAAAGGAAGGAAAATTAAATTAGAATGGAGGATGAGGATGGCATCGAAATAGAGCCTCCAAAAAAAAAGCGACGATGCCACGAGTTTTTATTATTATCACGGCCACGCGTATCGGAACATTAAAATGCTTCATGAAACACGGCAAAGCGGGAATCGCATCAAAAATAGAATCCCCAGCCATCATCGCCAGCTCTATTTGCGGCCTCCAAGCATCAAACATCAAACATCAAACCTCGCCGTCGGCAAGCATCCGAGGCGGCCAGTCCTGGCGCCTAACAAACGCGCAGCACTGAGATTTGAACATGAAGCCCGGTGCTCCAGCAAGCAGCTCGAACGATATACAGTATAATTGTGCGATACCACGCAAATGAATGGCGCCCATCGACACTGGGCCGTCAGCGCCGCCCTCTTTAGCTCCGTCGCGGGTTGTCTGTGTCCGCCACGCCATTGGCCCGCGGCGCTGCCATCTTGAAACTCAGCTCGACTTCGAAACCCTTGCCGGCGATGCTCTCAATCTCTGCGTCCTGTCAAACGTCCAAAGAAGAAGCTGCCCCACCCTCTCGAAACGCCGCCTTCGAGCCAATGGCGGCTCCCGTCCTCGGCAGAATCGCTCGTGGCCAATCGCCAGCCAATCTTCGCGAGCGGCAGCCGAAAGAGGAGAGCCCCAGTTCAAGGTGAGTCAAGGCCTCTTGTGGTTCGCCGTTCAAGGCGTGTTACTACCTACTGCTACCTCCTTGTACGAGTGCTCGGCAGCCGTTCACCATGTACCGGCTCCTTTCTGCCCGTCCTTATCGCGCTCTCTCTGCCCCAGTCCCTTGTCCCCGGCAAGCTGATTTGCTGCCGGTGCCTTGCCGGGGATTTTGATGCGCTGGCTGCCGTCTTGTCCAATGGATGCCCGGTCAAGGAGATGAGTGGCTTGCCGGGTTCTGCTGCCCTTTTTTTTTATTTTTTTTTCAGCTGCGAGCCTCAGTTAGCCAAGTAGAAGCATTATGAAATGTGCTTATGACAAGCCAAATGTGAGACATTATACAGTAGGAGGTCGTACATCAGCAGTACTTGGAATGGATGTATAAAGCAAATTGAAGCATTTTCAAATGTGGCAGCCTTTTTCCCTGCTCGGGAAAGCCACGCCGCAGCCGCGAACTCACGCCTTTCCTTTTTCTTTTCATCTCAAATCATCCTCCTCCCTTCGCCGCCCGTAAATGTAAGACATCAATTACTCGTAAAAGCCTAGATTCCCAGCAGGTACGAGTAGTAACATTTAGGTGCCTATTCAGGAACTCCCTTGACGCGAGCCGCTCCAATGCAGGGGCAGAAAAGTTAAAAGGTGAAAGGAACAAAAAGTATAATTGCTCATATTTTTGACATTTGCATTGAACACTGCGGCCCGCAAACTTTTTTTCCTCGCTTTTCTTTTAAATTATGACACCCTGAACGTCAAACCTTGCGGGCGTGAAACGCAGAGTGATATATGATGATATGAGGTCTTTGAAACATAGCGTCTGTCTATCCGTCCATCACCTCTGCCTATCAATTCTTCATCTTTCCATGTACCACCTGCAAACATCAAGAAAATGCGGGTAAAGCTGCTCACATTCCCGCTTTAGCACCATTGTCCGGAACGCCTTTTTGCCCCTAGCGCTCGATATTCGTGTGGAGAAGAGGGGGAATGGATTGCCTCCCGGAACGCAAGTCAGTACATACGTTCATCTGCCTTCCAAACCAATATCCTTTTGTCCATCGTGGATAGACACTCACTTACTCGTGCGAGTTGCCTGTCCCATCCCGCGAGTAAGACGCGGATCAAACTTTGGCCCATATGGGGCACCCTTCCCCCCAACCCCGGTCGAGTTCATCCGTGGCGTCTAGCTTTCCATCCCCGCCACCGGTACCTGTTTTTCTCTCCCATGGCGTTTCAATCCTCCTCTCTCAAGTCTGTCTTGCATACTATAGCGAGATAATACGGCCCGAAGTGGTGCGTTCAATTCAATCTTCTTTGCTTTTTCTTCAGGTGATGGAGCCTCAATCCGGCCATGGTGCTCTCGTATTGTTACAATCCGGCTCCCTCACATGTCTAGCGGCCTCCGCAGCATGCCAGCTACAGCAACGATCTTCCGTAGCCCTTTGGATAGTCTCTGGCCTGGCACCACTGAGAATCTGTTCCGGATGGTCAGCTCCCTGTTAGATCCCGATCCGCGTGCAGAAACGGGGAGGGGGGCCTGGGCCGGGGTCTAGCGGCTTGATAATTGCATACTAGCTGGCCATAGTGCCTCTATCCAGCTGTCTCTTCTGCTTGTCTCTGCTGTCTGGACTGCCTTTACTTGGCTGTACAGCAGAGCGATGTGCTGTGCTGCGCTGTGCTGTGATTTGTATCCTCACTCGAGTCCCTTGCGTGGAGTTGCTACCACTACATACTAGGTGGTATTAGTGCAAGTCCCCAGCTATCACCTCCAACGAAGCTTTGTACTTTGCAGCTGAGCGCAGGGTATTTCAATGGTCAGCCGAACAACCCCTTCGCTTCTGCCTCAGCCCGTTTTCTTTGCAATTAATTTCCTGATGCTTTTACTGGTCTGCTGGTATACCTACAGAGTGCTAGCAGCTCACATACCCATGATCCATGGGCA